TTCTCATTCTCCTGGCACTATAGAGCCCTAAGGGTGCCCCCACCCCCAGGGTCCCCCTCCCACCGGGCTCTGTGGGGAGGAAGGGGTTAAACTTACCCCTTTCTCCAGCGCCGGGCGGGGAGCTCTCCTCCTCCTCGGCTGAATGCGCATGCGCGGCAAGAGCCGTGCGCGCATTCAGCCAGTCTCATAGGAAAGCATTCATAATGCTTTCCTATGGACGCTGGCGTCTTCTCACTGTGAAAATCACAGTGAGAAGCACGCAAGCGCCTCTAGCGGCTGTCAATGAGACAGCCACTAGAGGCTGTATTAACCCATAGGTAAACATAGCAATTTCTCTGAAACTGCTATGTTTACTGCAAAAAGGGTTAAACCTAGCTGGACCTGGCACCCAGACCACTTCATTAAGCTGAAGTGGTCTGGGTGCCTATAGTGGTCCTTTAACAGTAGATCTGTGTAGAAATTATTATTTTTTTCAAAACAGTAAATGTACAGAATATCGGTATCGGCTCTCGGCCTGAAAGTTCAGAGATTATCGGTATCGGCTCTAAAAAATCTATAACAGTCGATCCCTAAAAAAGAAAACATTTTATACCTAAAGGGACACTACAGGCACCCTGTAACAGAAGTCATTTTTTAAAAACTGGGTCACATGAATACAGAATGCCAAAACATAACATTTATATTCATTACTCCATAAAATATTTTGCTGCTGCTTGTTGCCTTTTCAAAGAATGCCAGTGAGAGTTTCATACATGTTGTGTATATCTATGCAGGGAAGATTTATGGGATATGATTATCTAGTACAATCCTCATTAAACATTGCAAAAATATCTCATAAGCTAAGAGGTTTTGGGGTTTGAGTGGCTTCTGTATAGCTCTCTCATTGAAAACGATGGAAGTCCCTTCATATGACTTTGAAGAAACTCGTTCAGCTAAAGACAAAAAATCAACAACAATATTTCAGTATATTATTTACCGTCATTTGATAGAAGGATACTCAATTAAACACTTTCTCAGCATCTGGCAGAGTTATTTGGCACCAAAGTATACTTTCTGACTAAGACAAGAAATCTTAGACAAAGTAGTTTTACAGGGCTAAGTAATATAAGAAATAGTGTTGCAGATAACAAATGAGCAATGGAAGGACCAGGATTAGCAGATTAAAGCTACAGTATTAGAAATACAAACATATATTCCTGACACTATAGTGTTAAACTATTTAGGTCCCCGGCCCCCCTCCAATCACATGGTAATGGTGAGTTTACTTACCTTTTCTCCCATGCTTGGCTCCACCTCCATGGCCGAGATCATCATTCTTGTTGATCTCAGCCAATATAACATGCTTTCCCATTGGAGAGCATTGGGAGGCTATTGGACATGCACAGCACAACGCCGACCTGCGCCAATCAGCATCTCCTCATAGAGATGTATTGAATCAGTGCATCTCTATGGGGAACATTCAGAGTCTCCAAAAAGAGTGTCTCTGCGGAAAAGAAGCACCTCCAGTGGCCATCTGAGTGATTGTCAATAGATGTTTTACTAGGCAGCAATGTAAACACTGACATGCTTAGCTAGCAAGAACAGGTTACAGACAACAGAACCCTACATGAAGCTGTAGTGGTTCTGGTGACTATAGTGTCTGGTTCTGGTGACTACAGTGTCCATTTAATTTTAATTACATTTCCCAATTCCCGTAGATGTTTCTACAGAAAACAAGACTTTTTTTTTTTAAATAATCGTCCACATTTTGTATGCATTATTCCAAGATTGCAATATACCAATAATGCATATAAACATGGAAAATAACATACACCACGTGTCATTTTGACTTTCATCATTGTGATATACTTTATCTGTAAGTTGTTGCTTTGTTTTATTAATATTCATTATTTTTAGAGTTTTTGAATTTTCTCTATATATATCTTAGAATGGAAGTAAGGTAATTTCTTTAAATATATAGAGAGAGAGAGCTTAAACATCGCACATACATTGATAATCTTCAAAACATATGTGTTGCAATATACACAAAAAAGAACATTGTTCAGAATAGAACTGAATGGGTTATTTGATGAACAAGCTTCTTATCTCAGTGTCCTTCCCAGGGGAGCTGTTCAAGCAGATAACACAAAACAATTTCCTGAATAAACCTTCATAGCAGTTATTGAATTAAATGGAAAATTCATCATTAAATGCCAAATTTATAATACCCAGTAAATACTTAACATTGATGCTGTTGCTGGTGATGGGGCATTGTGGAGTTTTTATATACATCAACAGTTAGCAACCATGGCTTGATCAACCTAACCTCCTTCTGGTTGACTATATTTATAGTACTGTTTGCAAGGTAGCAATTTGCATACTGTAAACACACTCAAAAATCAAATATATACACATACAAGATAAAAAGTGTCAAATGATAAATCCAATGCGAGAACAAGATACCCAGAATCAAGTACACAATCATTATGGACTTGATTATCTTAACGCTTAAAGGGATCCTATAGTGCCAGGAAAACAAACCCGTTTTTCTGGCACTATAGACTCATGGAGTACACCCCTCTCTCGGTGCTGAAGGGGTTAAAACCCCATTCAGCCACTTACCTTAATCCAGCGCCGGGCTCCGCCGACGTGATCTCCCGAGTGGAGCCGAATGCGCATGCGCGGTAAGAGGCACGCGCGCATTCAAACCCGCCCATCACTCAATGCTTTCCTATGGGGATCTTATATGACGGTGAACTTCGTGAGGACGTCCAGCATCAGATAAGTGTGATTAACTCACTGTAAATCGCGAAAGCTGACTCTAGTGGCTGTCAGGGAGACAGCCACTAGAGGCTGGATTAACCCTGCAGTGTAAACATAGCAGTTTCTCTGAAACTGGTATGTTTTCAGGTGCAGGGTTAAAATTAGGGGTACCTGGTACCCAGACCATTTCATTAATTTGAAGTGGTCTGGGTGACTATAGTTGTCCTTTAATGTTTCCCTCCGCTTACTGAACAGCAATGCCTTCATTGAAGTCTATGGGAAAACTGCTAGCAGTAAACAAATTAAAGCATTACTCTGCTGAGAGAATCCAGCTCTATGAGTTTAGACCTTTGTAGGGTCCAATATGAAGCTAGTAAAAACTTTAAAAAAGCCCTTTGTTTGAATGCAGAAAAAGATATAATAGCTGCACGTGGATAAAAACTAAAGAAAAAGGTTCCCTGCGCACCATCCCAAACCCCCAGATATGCCATAAAACTGGAGGTTTCCAAGCATCATCGAAATGGCCATTCAAATACATTCTCACTTCTCACGTCAAGGCAAAACCTCCCAGGTGAGCCTCACACTAACAATTGTTTCTTTTTCAAAATTTATATTTTTCACATTTATTTTATTGTTTTATCTACAATACCCATTCCCTGATACCTGATAAGAAGTGGTTTTAGATCTTACTTTTGGTAGATCTTACATTTACATGCCTGTCTGAGAAGTATAGTTTTGTTGACTATATAGAAGATTTTATTTATCTAATTTTTATATAATTGGCAATTAAATGGACACTATAGTCACTAAACAATGTTGGCTTAATGAAGCAGTTTTGGTGTGTAATTCATGTCACTTTGTTAAAATCACTCTGTCTCTGCAGCCTAGTCACAACTCACTGCATGTGACTTACACAACCTTCTTAACACTTCCTGTAAGCAGTCATCTAATGTTTACGCTTTCTTTATTGCATATTCTGTTTAATTTAGAATGAATTATCCCCTGCGCTGTTAATAACTTGTTAGACCCTGCAGGAGATTCCTGTGTGTAATTAAAGTTTAATTTACAGAGCAGGAGGAAAAGTTTAAATGTACATCTGATTGAAAGTGAAACCATTTTTTTCATGCAGGTTGTGAGAGTCACATCCAGGGGAGGTATAGCTAGGGCTGCATAAACAGAAACAAAAGTGATGTAACTCCTAGATGGCAGAGAAATGAGCAGTGCAACTTCAGAGGTATGATCTATACTCAAAAAAACTACTTCATTATGCTAAAGTTGTTTTTGTGACCATAGTGTCCCTTTAAGCCTCATTATACTGAATGAGTGGTTTCAAATTCCAGTGTACCTTTTACAGCAGCAGTAAAACAGCATTGTGTTTTTGTGAAAAAGTTCAAGGACACATGAATGTTTGCCTGCTGAAAGGAGTATTCCCATTTTTAAAAGAATTCAGTTATTGTGCAGCATTTTTATTTTTACACTGTTCTTTTCATAATTTCTGTTCAAGATCTCTTTAAAACATAAAACTACCTGGTCTTGTGTAATTTTCCTATACTTGACAATTGTGACAAAACAGTGGAGCTTAAGACAAGCTCCACTTCCTTTGTCAAGATAACAAAGGGTGAAACTTAAATTAAATTAAAATAAGAAAGTAAAAGTAGAACTACATTATCTTATGTTTTAAAGATAAACAGATCAGAACATAAGAACATATCCTAAAAGAGCATGAGAAAAGGAAACAATAGGAGAAAGTTAAGTTTGTAAAATACATAATACTGTATCTACTATTTGTGCTTGTGGGATATGTTTTGTACCAAGACAAACCCCATCATACAGACACAAAAAATCTTTTATGCACTAAGGAAAAACTCATCAAGACAATAATCACTCAGGATAATTATGATTAAGATCCTTAAGAATATCTTTAATTGATGCAAAGTATGGACAAATGATTAAATGACAGAATCAATAAATATGCATAGAGGAAGACTATGCTTTATAAATTAAGACGTTGTAAGTCAAAAAATGCTTATAAAATGGACAATCCATAAGTCTATTTACTGTAAACAAATTAATAAAGGTACAAATGGCGTCAGAAAATATACATTGTTCTTGTCTGCAGATTTCAATTACAGCTATGTGAGCTTAAATGTTTTGATGTCCTGAATGTGCACTTCAATACAATTTAATATACAGAAATTAATTGAAATAAAAAATATTATGCTACAAAAGATTGCATGAGTACACAGAGAATAATTGACTGTGATTCATGTAAGCAAAAATCTCATTATAAAACACAAACATTTTATGTAAGGAAATTAAAGATAATGTAACTTTATATTGTCATCCTGTGGAAAAAGACATAGTACTTGGGTTTGTTCTGTACAACTGTATATTTTTTACTGAAAGTAAATAGTTAACCACGCAAAAAAAACAACAACAACTATATTTTGAAACAGGCATTGTCTATTGTCAGCTGCCACAGAAATATACACAAAATGGGAAACAACACAAACAGTCAGAGAAGTAGAAATTATATATATATATATATATATATATATATATATAAAATATATAGAAGACGTCCCTGCACTCAAGCTATATATATAGTATTTCAAAAGTTCTTTTCCAGGTGCCAGCCAGGGTTCAAATATCCAGAAAAAGCAACAAGTTTAGCTGCACTCACGGTTAGGAGATAAAATCTTCAATGCTTTATTTGTTCATTTTAAAAAATATAGATCAACGTTTCAGTCCAGCTTGTGGACTTTCCTCAGGATCAAGATATATTTATTTATTTATTTTATGCGCTCAATTGCTCCCCTGAGTGCCATGTACTGCTGTCACTACGCTTAACTCCATATTGAAATAGAACTGCATTTGATAATCCATTTCGTTCAACAGCAAGGATCATGCTGAAAATAATGTAGGCCAATCAAAGAACTCAAACAGTCAGACAGTGTTCAACCCCCAAAACAATGATGAAGGGAGCCAACTTCCCAACCAGCAAAGTCAGACCACCCTACAAAGTCAGACCAAATGAGCATCAACGTATCAACATGCGATTTTGGGGAACAGGATAGGTGTTTTAAAGTAGCTCTGTAACTTTGTGGGGGGGTGTTTAAAGTAAACTTATTTGTTAATACCTGGCTATTTGCAAGCAGGAAGAGATACCCATATAAAATTAATTGCAAATAGTCCTAACATTTACATACATTAAAATGACTTGAAAACAGTGTTAGTTGGTGAAGTTTTAATATGGTGGGGTGGTAAACTCCTCTCATAGAATTTAACTCTGCAGCCATCACCTTCTGACCTGTGGCATCTATCTGCTTAACCACATGTACTAAACCCCTAATTGTAGTCCCTTTTCAACGCAGAGCTACCCATACAATACAAAGAATGCAGTACAATAAGGAGATACCAATGCAATACAGAACTGAGCATAATACAGACATAATCATACAATTCATGCAGCTGGGCTTAATTCAAATATACCAATCAAATGCAGCTAAACATATAACAGGAATAGCTCAGTAAAACCAAGATAAACACACAGAGATTGAGCAATAAGGAGATGACCATAAAATAACATATTTTAGTAAACCCCCTTGCTGTGGCTATTGGGGGGGAAAAAATATATAATATTATAAGCTTACATTTGGCTATGGCCAGGAGCTGCTGCTGCTGCTTTGCTCTTACCTGTTCTACTTCCAGATTGGTTTCTTGCTTCTCTCCCCTGTGGGCACTGTAACCCCACCCCTTAAATATATGTGACAATGTGGGCCCCTGAATAGTGAGGCCAATAGCATACCTCCACTTATGGGCAACTGAATCTTCTGCCCAAATGGCAACTCAATGGGAGGCTCCAGAAAGTCTCCTTAACCCCTTAAGAACACATGACATGTGTGACATGTCATGATTCCCTTTTATTCCAGAAGTTTGGTCCTTAAGGGGTTAAAGTAGACTAGGCATGTGCAAATCGAACTGAAACAGGACTGATTTCAAAACTGTCCTATTTTTTGACATGCCTAGTCCCTCTCAAAAAAAGCTTCTTCAAGCAGCCACCAATCAGGGGCCCTGCAGAAGCCCATTACAATCAAGAGAAATAGATTTGATTAATTTTGATACACACACAGGCAATGGCTGGAGTATATTAATCTACTTTTTTACATATTTTTCAGCTTACTACTTTCCGCCCTGTTAAAAAATAATGTTTGTATTTTTTAACTATTGCAAATCATAATTTTCCCATGTAATTTCCAACTATGTACAAGCCTCCCCTGAGCACTACTGTACACGTTTTACAAAAAATAAAGTAAATGAATAGCACAGCCACGTTAAGAATGACTGCTATATAAAAACAAAAACACAACAGTAATTTTAACACATTGTGCTTTAATTCTCATAATTGCAAATAAGGGTTGTTCACATGATTGAGAATTTATGTGAGTGAAGTGAAAATTGTAGATTTTAGGATTTAACAGTGGTGTGTTTATTTTATAAACACCAAGTTTTAGTTAAATATAGTTGAAAAACAAGATACAAAATGTAGGTATAAATATTTTAGCCTACGTTTTGTAAATCAGTGTCTATTTGGCTATCATTTTGTGTTAAATGAAGAACCCCTATCCCTGTTGGAGATTTATTTCCAAATTGCCTGCTTTTACTTCTAATTTGCAGTTATCAAAATGCCAGTTACTTTATAGTGTGAATGTGTTTTTTTACACAAACATGGTTATTTACTAATTTCCATTTATTCATTAAACGACCACTATAGTGCCAGGAAAACATACTCGTTTTCCTGGCACTATAGTGCCCTGAGGGTGCCCCCACCCTCAGGGACCCCCTCCCGCCCGGCTCTGGAAGGGGAAAGGGTTAAAAACTTACCTTTTTCCAGCGCTGGGCGGGGAGCTCTCTGCCTCCTCTCCTCCTCCTGGGCTGAATGCGCACGCGCGGCAAGAGCTGCGCGCGCATTCAGCCCGTCGCATAGGAAAGCATTTACAATGCTTTCCTATGGACGCTTGCGTGCTCTCACTGTGAAAATCACAGTGAGAAGCACGCAAGCGCCTCTAGTGGCTGTCAATGAGACAGCCACTAGAGGATTAGGGGGAAGGCTTAACCCATTCATAAACATAGCAGTTTCTCTGAAACTTCTATGTTTATGAAAAAATGGGTTAACCCTAGAAGGACCTGGCACCCAGACCACTTCATTAAGCTGAAGTGGTCTGGGTGCCTAGAGTGGTCCTTTAAACAGTACACTGACGAGGGTGCTTATTCTCTAAACTCCATTTTGTATCAACTTGTAACAAATTGAATTCTAAATGGCTAAACTGAGGCTAAAATAGCCAAACTGAGACTACAGTTGAGATAAAGAATTTCTCTAAATTACCAAGTTTAGGTTATTGTTGCCAATTGGATCTTAGTTTGCTACAATTCAGAGTTTACTGCATTACCATGGAATTTATAATTTTAGTCCAAAATAGCCAAGCTTGGTTTAGTGGATAACTCAGACATGAAAGTAAAGATAACAAGCAATTCCTAACTTTTTGTACAAGAACTGACAAATAAATGTAAAAAAAGGGAACAAAGAATCAAAAACTAGGCTATAAATGTCAGAAACACAGTAAATTATATACAAAGAAACATCACTACTAATGAACTTAGAAAAAAAAAACAGGGGATTTACCAAACAGACAGTTGAAAACTAGCTTTCAGAGTTTCATACCACTTAGCACCCAGACCACTTCAGCTTAATGAAGTGGTCACCAGGTCCTCTAGGGTTAACCCATTTTTTTATAAACATAGCAGTTTCAGAGAAACTGCTATGTTTATTAATGGTTAAGCCTTCCCCTAAGCCTCTAGTGGCTGTCTCATTGACAGCCACTAGAGGCGCTTGCGTGCTTCTCACTGTGATTTTCACAGTGAGAGCACGCCAGCGTCCATAGGAAAGCATTATGAATGCTTTCCTATGTGACCGGCTGAATGCGCGCGCAGCTCTTGCCAAGCGTGCGCATTCAGCCGACGGGGCGGAACGGAGGAGGAGAGCTCTGCGCCCAGCGCTGGAAAAAGGTAAGTGTTTTCCCCTTTCCCCTTTCCAGAGCCGGGCGGGAGGGGGACCCTGAGGGTGGGGGCACCCTCAGGGCACTATTGTGCCAGGAAAACGAGTATGTTTTCCTGGCACTATAGTGGTCCTTTAATTACATTGGAAAAAAAACAACTTTAGAATATTTAACTCAACAATTTTGGCCATAAAGTGGCTCACTCCACCCTAAAAAAAATGTGTATTTCATGAAGATAACATTTTTCATTGACTGTGAGGGAATTTCACTGTATGGCTCCTAAAGGGTTAATAAACCTTTTAATCACTTAATCGATACCAGCGGGGACTTAAAGCGTTTGCCAATAGGCATTTTTCCATAGGAAAGCATGGAATCAATGCTTTCCTATGGTGATTTTACTAACGCTGGATGTCGCCATGCAGAGCGTGAGGATGTCCAGAGTTAAGGGAGTCAGCAGACCCTTTTAGAATCTGGTAGAAAGCCAGTAGAGGCAGTCTTAGTGCTGCTATGTAAAAAGGTCTGGGACACTCCAATTAGATAAAGTGGTCTGGGTGCCTATGGGGTTTGTTTAATGTAGTAGTTTTGGTGCAAACACTCTGTTCCTGCAATCTGGCATTTGTGCAAAAAAATTTGTGTTTACATTTGTCAGTCAGTATGCCTCTAATGGCTGTTAATAACTTAGAAAGCTGTTAATAGAGGCTAATGGCTGTTAATAGAGGCTAGAGTCAATCCCTCGTGAGTTATTGTTCCTGAATAACAATGCTGCTCACAGAGAACCAAAGGATCCAATGCTTCTCTGCGAGAAGCATCCAGTTTGCATAAGTCAGCGATTGCTGAGAATGCCCAATTAATCTTGGCTTGGACCAAAGTTTAACCTAATGGATGATCTCATAGAGGGAGGAGCAGCTGCAGAAGGGAGACTGTCTGATGATGGATTATAAGTAAGTTTAAGGGAGGAACATGGATTCTAAATAAGAACATTGTAAAATTAAATTAACATAGTTAATAGTTATAGTTCCAAATGTTTTCTATAATATATAGTTGTACAGTCCTTTGTTTCACAGGCTTGCTCCACATTACAAACACACACACACACACACATCCATCCCTTGGAATAGAGGTAAAGCTTAGAGAGGCATATCATTAGTCAAAAAATGGAGTATAGTTTATTCACAGAATAGTGGCTAATGATGTAGTGAAAATTACATTGCAATGTATGCCAAGACTGCCAAACTGGAAATGTGTTTCTAAACTTAGCAATTTTTATATAAATTCTGTGTTGTCATTTCATTACAAATTAATGTTTAAACAATTAACCACAAACTTTTACTGATTATTATTCAATACAAACCCTATAGTAAAATGAAGCTCTTTTTAGATTTGTTTGCTATTTCTGTACTTTTGTGAATTTGCAATAAGACAGGGTCATGTGGCCAGTCAAGGAATACTCGGCATACAGTCACCTAGGACTTAAAGACTATGTAAATTCCTGGGAATAAAAGATATTATTATCCCTTGTCGTGTGTGAGCAACACTCCAGACAGGGCTCAATCATCTACGGAAATATGAACACAGTGCTTACCCCAGTGCAGGACATCCCTGGTTGGTACCCAACTACTAAGAGTTACTCTGTTTAAGTTCTTACTTTAGGACCCCACTCTGCTATCCTGGCCTTATTTTCTGTTGTCATGCTCGTGGGAAAACAAAAATATGTTCCAAACAGTGCAACTAGGCGCTAAAGCAAAGCTTTTTTGCTCATGTGAATGGTAGCCCAGGTTAGAGGGCTACCAAAGCTGTCAACCCATAACAATTGATTGCCAGGTTAACATGCCTCTTTTCTGATATTCTGCCACACCAGCACTGTTCCCTGTAAGGTGTGCACGCGCACATCCATCTTGCCTGCAGTGCATATGATAAAAGTGTGGGCCATGGCTGAAGACAAGTCAGGAGCATGGCCTGTGCTCACTAATGTGGGCTGTGCAGGTCCATGAATCTTAACCGCACTCCCGCGATATGTTTATAAATCTTTTTGTGTAAGTGAGCACAGCACAGATTCATTAGGTAAATCAGGCAAAGTGAAGTAAATGTGGGCAATGTGGCATGGATGAAATGTGGACATAATAAAATAGAGACAATGTGCCACGGATGTAGGCATATTAAAATGGAAAGTGTGGCACGTGGGCTATGTGGCAAAAATGTGAGGGAACACTGATCACTAGTGATATAGACTGTGTCACTTGCACACATCCACCCTCTCCTGTCCTGATATAAATCACTAAATACTGTGAGTGAGTCACCATAATATGCTAACTTAAACATGCCTTCTTCAGAGCTCCTGGATTCAAGTAATTAAGCACCTACCACATTCAGGCAAACAAAACCTGTCATCCTCAACCAGAGTACAGAGTACAAGAGATTACATCATGAAAAACATGACTCAGAAGAGGAATCTTCACTGATCTGACTGATGACCTAGAGGCCGGTTTAAGCACTGCTGCAGTTGTTTATTGATTTCTAATACTTTAGCAAAGTTAGCATTTCATGTCTTATCCAGCCAATCTACATTCACCTGATTTATAAACACACAGAAGTTCTGTGTTCTATTGTACAGTAAGGTTTGCTCCTGGCTGATACCATGATAACAAATTCCAACCAGTGAGCAATGTCAAGAGCCAAGTTTTCAGAGCTATTAGCCTAAAAGGGTTATTCTAGTTATCACCAGAGATTCCAAGGAAACAAATGTTTTCACCAAGTCTCTATTGGCAGGTGTGTGCACACACATGTCCACTGTCTGCAGGAGTAACACAAAAAATGGAAACTCCAGGCAATGTACAAATATAAGAATACCTCATTATGCACAAAATTATCCTGACTTTTCTTTGCAGCCCAGCTCTTTGGTTTTTTTTTTTAAAAACAAATGCAAAATCATACAAAAATGTGGAGAAGCAGAAGGGGGAATCTCCATTTTACTCTACA